CGGCGGGGGCGGTGCGGGGCGGTGCGGGGCTGTGCGGGGCGGGTCGGGGGCTCGGTGCGCTCGCCAGGCGAGGAGCGCGGCTGCCCGGGCGGAGGGCCGCGGAGAGGAAAGCTAACAATGCTGTGAAAATATGTTTGCAGAAAATAGACAATTGTTGGATTAAACGTATTCAAGTATGAAATAATGCCTTTTTGTGTAAAAAACCTCAGCAATGTGAGCGTACAAAAGTTCCCCTGTGGCAGTTACTTGCTCCCTTTGTGAGCTTTGCGCTCCGGCGTCTCCACTTGGCGCGTTTAACTCGGAGCCCCCCTTTAAACGCGATTGTTTCTTTCTTTTTAATGACATTTACCGGATCAAAACATGCTGTTAATTCGATCAGAAAGCTTTACCCTCCTTAACAATGCCACAATAATTTCTCCTGAAGTTTGTTAAATTGACCAAAATTAGGCAAATGAATAGGGGGTCTGTCGGCGATCCCGCTCGCAGGTGACACCGAATAATGCACTCTCGGACCAGCTGCGATCCCCTCTTTATTTGCCCCTCTTTTCTTTGACCCGCATTATTAAAATTTAGGCCCAATGAAACTATTCATAGTTTTCAATGGGACATTTTCCTATAGGATAATAGGCTACAAATTGAGCCTCTCCAAAGGAGAGGGGGAGAGCAGGGGGGGTAAAACAACAACGCACAGACGCGCACACCACACAAAAAAGGAGCGTCGTGTGCCAAAGGCTGGCGAGAGCCTCCCTGGGCCGACGGAAAAAAAAAAAGGGGGGGGGGATGGGGGGGATATCGTGTGCCAGCCCCCCGGTCCCACACCTGCCGGGGTGTCCCCGGCGCATAAAGCGGTGTAAACAAAAAAATCCTCGCTGCCATCTCTTATAAAGATGGACGTGTCACCAAGTCGTGTGAGAAAAGCCTGAGAACAAACGGGGCCACTCCGTCTCCAAGGGTTCTCCCTTGAACTGGGCGGAACAGCCTATTAAGGGCTTACTTAATTACTTTAATGACTCTGGACAGGCTTTAAAATGCAGTCAGCTCCGGGGCTAAGGGGAGGGGTAGGGGGTGCCGGGGATTTGAAGGCTGGCGGCGGAGACGGGGCCGGGGATGCGGCGAGCGGGGCGCAGGGCGCGATACCGCGTCCTGCGCCCCGCTCGCCGCATCCCCGGCCCCGTCCCCGCCGCTATTGTGGGACAGTCACGTGTGTCCCCGAGGTCCACGTGGGGCGACACAGCTGGGCCGCCCCCGGCTGCGTGGACGGGGGCGAGGAGGGGGAGAAAGGAAGAAGAGAGAAGAAAAAAAACCCCTCATCCCCTCGCCCCCTTCCACCCTGATCTTTAATGCATACACTCCCTCGGCGCCGCTCTCCCGTAATCCTATGGGATCAGCAGGCCCGTGGAGGCCCCCCGGGGTCCCCCCCAAGAAGTGATGGCTTTATAAGGGGGCCGAAGAGAGAGGGGATGCAGAGCCCACCATGGCCTCCAAGCTCAAGGAGCGGAGGGTGAGTCGTCGCCCGCCTTGCGCGCACGGGTCTGCGGGGCCGCCAAGCCGGCCTGGCCCCGAGCCCTTCGCCGCCTTTCCCTTTGAAAAGCCTCCCCACAAAAAACAACCACACGTCCCTCACAAAAACAAGGCTGCCCTGCCGGGGCCGTTCGCGCAGCCGGGGAGCCTCCAGGGCCGCGCGGCGAGGACCGGCTACCGGAGCACCATCATCCTTCCCGAAGCCGCGTCGCGCCCGGCACCACTGCTCGGAGCGGGGCTGGGGACTGGCTTCCCTGGAGGGGTCGAGACCGGGGCCGGCTGTCACAGCGAGACTGGATCCGTCTGTTTTCTCTTCCCCACTAACGCGCCCCATATGTTTTGCAGAGGACGCCGGTTTCCCACAAAGTGATTGAGAAGCGGAGGAGGGACCGCATCAACCGCTGCCTCACCGAGCTGGGGAAGACGGTGCCCATGGCTCTGGCCAAGCAGGTAGGCGGGGGGGAGCAGCCCCTACGCCCTTTTCTCCCCGACATACCCCCCGATACGGCGGGGCTAGGGGGCGGCCCAGTGGAACGCAGAGCAGTCTCAGGGGAGATGTGATGCCCACCTGCCCTGCCTGTTGCAGAGCTCGGGAAAGCTGGAGAAAGCGGAGATCCTGGAGATGACGGTGCAGTACCTGCGGGCCCTGCACTCGGCGGACTTTCCCCGCGGCCGGGAGAAGGGTAGGTGGGTGGGAGCGACCTCCCGCGGCCCCCGCCAGGTCACTCGCGGCATGGAGGCGGCCTTCCCCGCTCCTCTCCCGACCAGACCCTGAGGAGCTCGATTCCCTTCCCTTTCCTTTCCAGCAGAGCTGCTCTCCGAGTTCGCCAATTACTTCCACTACGGCTACCACGAGTGCATGAAGAACCTGGTCCACTACCTGACGACGGTAGAGAGGATGGAGACCAAAGACACCAAGTACGCCCGCATCCTGGCCTTTCTCCAGTCCAAAGCACGCTTCGTTACCGAGCCTCTCTTCACGTCCCTGGGCTCCCTCCCGGAGCCGGACTTTTCCTACCCGCTGCATCCTGGGCCCGAGTGCCCCGGGCACGTCCACAGTCCCGCCGAGGGCGTGCTCCAGCCGCCCTCGGGGGGGCCATTCCCCTGGCACGGCGCCGCCCGCAACCCCTCCCTGCCCTACCACTTGCCCAGCGCCGCCGTACCCCTCGCCAGCCCCGGCCAGCAGCGCAGCACTTTCCTCTCATCCGTGCAGGGGCTGGACCGCCACTACCTCAACCTCCTCGGCCATTCCCACCCCAACGCGTTCGGGCTGCCCCCGGGCCAGCACCCCTCCATGCTATAGAGACTCGTCCCGCCTAAAAAACACCTATTTATGACCGCGGACACTGCGGGCTACACCCGGGCGCACGGGGAGGCTGCTGGGGGCAGGGAGATGCGCAGGGGTCCCGGCTGGCGAGGAGCCCCCGGGAACCCAGCTCTGCCCCCGCCCGCCCTCTCCAAGGGCCTGAAGCTGTCCCCACCCGCTCGTCTTCCCACCTCCGGGTTCAGTGCCTGTACAAGTTATGCCTTGGAATAAAAGTTTATACCCGCCGCTGCTTTTTGTTTCCGTGAGGGAGCTTCCTCGGGTGGCGGTGGGAGTCTCCCCACGCAGCCACCCAGGGCAAAAAAACCCACGAGCGAGCCGTGGTCAGCGAGGGCCGGGAGCTTGCTGCACGCAGCGGCCGTGGCCGGCGCTTCGGGCAGGCGGGGCAGGACGCGACGGGCCGGGGGTCGGTGCCGCCGGCTTCTGCTCCCAGGCTGTCACCGGAGGCTGGGAGGGAGTGCCGGGGTGCTCCGGAGGTGGCGGATGTCCCGTTCCCCCGCAAACCCTGCGGGTGCTGCCCTCCCACGCGCCCGTGGAGGGTGCTCCAGAGGCACGTGTCCGAACGGCATCTCCCGTGTGCTTTGCCAGCGAATTTCTCTGCGGCGCAGCTTGTTCAGAGGAGGAAGAGTAATGGTGAAGGCGCAGGACGGGGCGGGGAGGGCAGGCGGCCGCCGCGGAGGTGCGGGGCGCTGAGAATAAAACCAGTGGAAGCTCCGGGAACGAGTCCTTCCAGCCTCGCCGCCGGCGCGGAACCGCGGCACGGCTTCTCCCGACGGGGAACTCCAGCCCCGCCTGAACCAAGCGTCCCGGGTGTCTCCATAGCCCCTGGAAGCAGGGAAGCCCGGCCGTGCCCGGCGGGGCCGGAGCCGTCGAGGGGTAAATTAACTTATTCCAGTTGGGTGGGGAGGCTTTGAGGAGATTTGACCTGGGCTGTTTGCCCAGGTCGCGGGATGGGCTGACCCGCAATTTGTAAACCAACCCGACCCTTTATTCGGAGACAGACAAAAAGATCTTCATTACAATGAGTAAAAAGTGGAATGTGTATCTTCCATTTAACCTGTAAATACAAGAAAAGTTCCTATCCCAGATTAGTGGGGAAAAGGTCACATGGCAGGATGATGGTAAGGAGTCAGCTAGGGAGGGGAGAAACCACCCCCATTTCCTCGGGACACCTTTAGGGTGGTAAATCCAGAGGGAACTTCTCTTTTGGTCAGTGTACACAGAACAATATGGACTCAGCCAAACATTCATCAGCAGAATGGCTGGTGCCTATTATGAAGACACATGTCCAACACTCATTTTTATCAGCACTGCAGAATATGGTCAAGATGCTACATGACTTTTATTCTGTGTGCTTTAAGCTCTTGTGATCCCTCTTTGTCACTGAAGCATTAAAGATATGGCATTTTCCTGAAAATATAAATATATTCAGCATTTTGATCCCTGTTAACCAAATTAAACAAAACTTTCCTTTGCTAAGTAGATTTTCTCTGTGGGATTAGCAGAGGGCCACCATGGTCAAAACTGGGGTCATTTGCATATAATTTTGCAAACTCGCACTGGTCCATGACAGTCTTTGTCTCTCCAATGTTGCTGTCCTGCATTTCTTCTTCTTCTCTCTCTTTTTTTTTTTCCCTTTTCATTTTCATTTAGCTGTGGAGGATAAACCCCTCTTTGGCTTTACAATGACTTTAGGATAAAAGTCTCCCCTCCCTCCACTCTTTCAGGGCTCTGAGCTCACGCTCCTGCTTTTGGCCCTGAAACTATTTCGGAATTTGCTAAAGTCATCTGTACCAGGCATGGGAACTGAGCTGCCTTCCCAGTGCACCATGCTCTGTGCACACAGGTGGGTCAGCATAGGCAGTGGGGTACAGAGCTCCCTTGGGACAGGCATCCCCTCTCTTTTGACAGAGGTTTAGCTCATTTGTCTTGATTTCATTTTACATTTCTGTGCCAATAGGACAGAGACTTTTAGCCTTTTCCCCCCCTTGGATTTATTTTAGCTCTGCCATGAGCATCATCTTCCCACCTTGCTGGGAGCAGGTGGGAGCTGGATGACACCTGTGCTGGGCCTGCTAAAGGCTGTACCTGGTCCCAGGTGGGGTGCCCGTCTGGGCTGGCAATGCTCATCATCTGGACAGGAGTGACATTTACTGGTGTCCAGGAGCAGCTAGCACAGGGAATGAATAGAGAAGGGCTGTTCCTGAAAATAAACTACTTTAATTCCCAAACCCCCAAAATATTAGATTCTGTGTTATGTACCTACTTGGCTAAAAACCTTAATGGTGAATGATTTGCTCTATCATGTCTTATTCCTTTCCTTCAGCTAGCATATTTCTCACTCCTAGGCTTTCACATCTCTTTTGCCTTCCTTTCCCATGCCTTTAATGCCCTCTTTTATACCTCATCTCCCTGCTATCGGAATTCCTCTCTTTTCCTCACACATTCCATGTCCTACATGTACTGCAATTCTTCTCACCCCAGAAAACAGTTGTACAGCATGGTCACACCTCAGTAATTTCTTTATGTTGAGGGAAAATAAATTATGTTGGGATCAAAGGACAGCAAAATATGAGTTTACAGTTCTGTATCTGATACTGGCTCTCTCTTGCTATTTACTCAGACAGTAGAAGAGTTTCTGTTGATCTTTGTAATATTGCATTACTGAAAACATCTCCATCTCCCTAATTTATCCCAAGGATTTATTTGCATTATTATTTAAATAAAACATCACCAGTTAGATCAAAGGGACATAAATAGCCTGTGCATAAACTCTCCATCTAAAAGCTTTATATTTTCAATTGGTAACAGGCAAAGCCTGGAGGAAATTCTACTGTCTCACTTTTACTATTTAAATAAGTAAAAAAAATGTTTATGGACTTTGAGCATATATAACACAGATCAGAACTCTTCTTTCTTCCCATGGTTTTACACCAGTCTGAATGCATTATTCAAAGACCTAGGGGCTTTGCTGGTGGTGCCACACTGTGGAGTTTCCAGCCTTGGAAACAGAGCCAATGCCACTGAAAAAAGTCTCCAAATTCAGGACAACACAGTCATTCTTGGGGCATCTCATCAACCAGGTCAGTAGCTAACTAGAAAAGAGTATTTTTAATGCACTTTGGGTCTGTAACCCTGCTTGCAGCACTGGACCACAAAGAGCTGCATCAGCACACCTATAGGGACTGAGCCATGAGTTTGAAAGAAGCAGCTGAGGGAAAGAGGAGGAACTGCACCAATGAAGGCTTTTAATTACAGATCTGTTCCAATAGAGATGCACACAATAATTGGCTTCCTAGTGGTATGGATATGATCCCTTTCCTGTGGTGAAGATCCTGCCAGTGGTCCCACTGCTCCATGGAATGCTGCTGCTATTTCTCAGGCTCAAAGGTACCCCAGGGTTGCCTGCATGATTTGACCAGGATCATGCCAGAAATGCTATTAGAGTAGAGGATCTTAGGTGCCAGGGTACAATGATCACCCCAATCAGATCAGCTTCTTGCCCTTCTGCCATTTAATTCTCAGAGAGAATTAAATAGTGCCTAGAAGTCCAGGGGGATTATTTTTCCATTATAAATTGAATCTATTATAAGGAGGAGGAAACTTTCTGTTTGTCTGTGGAACAGCCTGTGTATTAGACACATGCTACTGAAGCAGCTGCAGACTTGTCCAGCAACCCTTTTGCAAAGGAAGACTTTTGGAAGGAAACCCTCCAGCCAACAAGTTCATATTTGCTGAGATGTATCATCTCCCACAGATTTGCCTCCTGCCTTGGGTGAGTCTCACATCATCATATCTATTTCTAGCAAACTTTCCTGTGTAGTGTATAAAGGCTGTTTTAGGAAAAGAACACTGAATTTTCTTGAAGAGAAAAGTGATTGTAGAAAGAAGCACAAGAAAAGTCATTTTAATGTGTATGTAATGTTAAAACTTGGATGCCTACCCACGTAACACTATTTCTAGCAAACTTTCCTGTGTAGTGTATAAAGGCTGTTTTAGGAAAAGAACACTGAATTTTCTTGAAGAGAAAAGTGATTATAGAAAGAAGTACAAGAAAAGTATGTATGTAATGTTAAAACTTGGATGCCTACCCACGTAACACTGCATATAGAGTGGCATATTAAAACAAACAAAACTAATTTTAAAAGATGAGAAAAAGCAACACTGAAGACTATTAGATGAAACATCACATGGGAAGAAAGAGGAGTAGTTTGTAAGACTCAAACTCAGAATATTAAATTAGGAATTTTATCAAACAATTAAACTGAGGAAAGAGATTGTTTAACATTTATCTTCAAGCTACAGCAACTGAAATGTGAATTATGCTTCATCAGAAGTAACACAATTAATTAGGCTGAAAAAACCCACTTTTGCTAACAGGAAATCTAAACTTTAGTATGTATGCTCTGAAAAGTTAAAGGCAATCTAATTTTTAATTAAGAATACAACACCTCCAAGTGCAGTTCTAGTCTACATAATGACTATGTAATTAAAAAATGAGGCCCTTCAAACAGGAGTCCTTCAAGGCAACAGGGAATTCATTACAGGGTCTGTGACTCAGTACTTATGCTTTTGGTGAACAGTATGAAGTTATTTTTACCCCTGCTGAGGGCTTAACCCAGAGCATGTAGAAATATTTACACCAGCTCACCCTGCAGTACTTTGTTTAGAGATGCTTGGTCTCCTACTAGCTTTGTGGAAACCACGCAGTGCCTGAGCTCTGAGCTTATCTCCATCTCTTGTGAATTCCAGCACTAAAATTATGCTTTCAGTTCCATAAAGGGTGCAGGTAATTAGAGTAGGACCCAGTCCAACTGGAACCCTTAAGGCCAGGATCATGGCAGAAAGTGCCTTCATTGTAATTCAACATACTGTACCTCCATCTCCCTGTCCTTAGTTCCTAGCCTGAGGCTTAGTTAGACGTTCTTTCAGGAAGTTGAAGTCTCAAGGATGAATGCTAAAAACTGTGTTCCTCTTTGGGAGCACCTTCTTATAACCACTCTTCCCCTACAATGCAATTTCTGTGTTCTTTGAAGGAACCACCATGTGCTGGTTCAGCCTTTCAAAGGAGATGGTAGTCAGTCAGATGGTAGTCAGCCAAGGGAGGGTTTGATCTCAAGGTATCAGCTTGAAGGGGATGTTCAGTTTAGAGGCACTAGCAGGAAGCTGTGACATGGTTTCAGTGCTTTCTCACTGCTAGGGAGGAGTGGAGACTATGGCTTTTGCCTTTCCCTTCTTTCTCCTGTGGAGGTACATGTGATCACCATGCACTACACACACAGGAAGCTTATACAGGCCCTCTTCCATAGTACACCTGGATTCAGTTTAGCTTTTCTCAGTAATTCCTAGTCTGGTTTGGCTGCTATTTGTTTACATGTGGCTTCATTCAATCCTCATAGCTTCCTATGCCTGCTACATTAGTGCCATTCCAGGAATTCACAGAGATTAGCCTTAAAGGTCAGTCTTTTATGACTAAGATATACAATTGGTCTTTTCTACTTTTTCCCCCCAAACTAGAATGTCCTTCAATGTATCCTAGGGCAACCTCAAGGTTTGATACACCTGACAAGTTTTTGATACAACTGTACAACCTTACTCACCACAAGAGGTGACGCCACTACAGCCATGAGCAAAGATTAGGGTATAGAGTTTTTCCCTAAATGTGGTAGTATGGAAATA